GCTTTTTAAGAGTATAAAATGTATACTAAAAGGATGCCTTTATTTTTATTTTTCTTTCTCTCCTATTTCCCTGTGAGTTTCTAATTTTTATATTGGCTTTATATTATTGTGAAATGTTATTTTTTTAAAAAATTGTATTTTATTAGTTGTACTTACTTCATAATATGATTATATTTTGAAAGGGGATAAAAAAACTTTGAAACCTTCTTTTATTTCTCAGGAAAGGAAAAGGTAAAGTTTCGTTCATGAAATAAGAGAGGTTTCCTTTTATACATAATCATCAAATGTCTAGGAAATAGAAACTAAACTCTCATATAATGCCTATGAAGAGATGACCATAATGCTAAAATTAATTAAGCCTGGGAAATAGATGGATCATGATCTTTTTGTATATATATTAAGTTAATTAAGATTTAATTATCACTTGTTAAAGTTAGTCTCTTTGAAATTTAGCTTGACCCAAATACTCTAAATAATCTTATTAAATACATATTTGAGCTTATTAACCATTGATCTTGTAATTGGCCTAACTAGAACTTCTAATGGATTATTTGGGGTAGTTTGTATTGTATTATCCCCTCTCTTTTCAAAAGAATTCAACTTCAAATCATCATTTACATTAAACAATAAGAGATGAGTAACATTAAAAGTAGCACCAATATACTTACCAGGTAGATTTTACTTTGTAGATATTGTCATTAATTCTTTCAAAGTTTTAGAATGGATCATCTCTTCTTTGCATCAACTTAAATCTATATTTAAAAACCTCTTATTGTGTATATACACCCAAACCCAATCATCTAGTTCAAATATAACCTCTTTTTTTGTTCTTATTATTTTTGAATGCATATTGCTCATTTTGTTTTCTATTTTTATCGTTGTACACTCTTATGGACAACCTTCACTAACTATGTTTTTCTATTGTCATTAAGACTAACCCTATCATCAATAGGTAAAATAATCAAATTCAAATAAGTTAAAAGAATTAAAACCATAAACAACTTTAAAAGAAAAACAATAAACAATAGAATGCACATTTTTATTATATACAAATTCAATAAACGACAAACAACCTTCCTAAATCTTCAAATCCTTTTGAATGATAATTCTTAACAATATAATTAATTTTCTACTAACTACTTGAGCTTGACCATCTATTTTTGGATGATAAGTAATAAAAAATAATAATTTATTTTTTCTAATTTCCCACCAAAACTTTTCAAAAGTAACTAAGAAATTTAACATCACGATCATAAACAAAAAACTTTTCAAAAGTAGCTAAGAAATTTAACATCACGATCATAAACAATGCTTCTAGAAACCTGATGAAGATGAACTATCTCTCTAAGGAATATATTTGCTATGTTAGTTACATCACCGGTTTTATGATAAAATATGAAATATTTTATTTTAGAAAATTTATCTGTAACCATAAAAAAAATCCTTGCTACTTTTTAAACTAAGCAAACAAAAAATAAAACTCATAGATATATTAGCTCAAGGTCCTTTTTAGACACTGATAAATGAGTATATAAATTATGAGCTAAAACTTTAGACTTAACTTGTCTATATGTTATGCACCTTTCATAAGTTCTTCGTATATTCCTTTTCATTTTAGGCTAATAAAAGCACTAATGCAAACAATCTAAAGTTTTAGCAACTCTAAAGTGTCCCATTAAATTTCTTTTACGTGATTCATAAAAAAAAATAAAATCATGCATAGAATAATTAGGCACACATAATCTGTTTTTTTTAATAACCATTAAGGCTATAAAATCTGTCAAATGCTGAATTCTCATATGCTTTATAAACTTGACTGGAATTATTATCATTATATAAATATTTCATATAATCAAATACTAATAATCTAGCATTTAAAGTTGGAAGAAGTAATACATTTATAATAATGTACCGGTCACTATGTTTTATAATACACTGCTTATATTTTATCACATATAAGAATGCTTACATGAACATAACCCACTTGACATGCTGTCGATTCAATTTTCTTTAACATTTCAGATGTTTTAATAACTCATGATCAGAATGGATCATAAATTCCTTAGGCTATAAATAATGTTTCCAAATATCTAATGCTCCCACCAAAATGTAAAGTTTCTTATCATAAGTAGGATAATTTAAGCTTTTCGCTAAAATAAGCTATGAACCATTTTTCCTATATTAAAATTACTTCAGTACCTATCTTTGAGACATCACAATCAATCTTAAAAGTTTTTGTAAATTTAGGTCATGGTAACAATGGAGTCGAAACCATTTTTTTCTTTAACATGTTAAATGCATGCGCTAGTTTTTTTACTCCATTTAAATCGTACTAACTTCTTAACAATTTCAGTTAAAGATTTGGCCAAAGTGTTGAAAGTTTTAATAAACATCTTATAAAAATAGTCAAATCATGAAAACTTTTTATCTTTGTAATTGACTTAGGTGTAGACCATTTTTGGATAGCTCTTACCTTTTACTTACCATTTCAATATCTTTTGTACTAATAAAATAACCATGAAAAATAATTTTCTCCACGCAAAAGTTACTCTTTTTTTTCCTTCAAATTAGCATATAAATATTCTTGTCTTTAAATATTCAATTCATTCCTCAAATGTTCAAAATGCTTATCTAAATTTTTACTAGAAATTAGAATATCATAAAGAATAAACTATAACAAACATACCTATACAATTTTTCAAAATATGGTTTATTAATTTTATAAAAGTACTAAGTGTATTAATAAGTTTAAAAAACACAACTAACCACTTATACAAACTATATTTAGTTTTAAAAAAAAATTTTTATTTATCTTTCTTTTTTATTCTAATTTAATAACATCCACTTTTCAAATCAATTTTAGAAAACACACTTGATATATGCAGTTTATCTAACATGTCATTAAATCTAGGGATAGAATGTCTACACTTTACCATAATATTATTCATCATATAATAATCAATATACATTCTCCAAATCACATCCTTTTTTAATATCAACAATATTGGATTTGAAAATGAACTCGTGTTTTCTTTTATGTACCATTTTACTATTAATTCATTCTCTTCCCTTTATAGTTCTTTTATCACCTCAAGATTACTTTTATAGGTTGACTGTTAGAGATTGCTACTCCAAGTACAAGATCAATTTGATATTTGATTTCCCTAATAAATTAGAAAAAAAATATCATTATAATACTGCAACAAAGAAACACAAACATTAGGAATACAAGAATTAAGTTTATTATTGTTAAAATATATTTTTTTAATACATATTAATCTTCTTCCTTTTCATATAAAAACTAACTTATTTCTTTATATCCCCTATTTTCTTCTTTTCTTACCCTTTTTTTCTTCTTCTTTTTTTTTCCTCCATCTTGGTCAAATTTGTTCTTTCAATGCTTATATTATTTTCACTATTCCTCGTATCCTCACACTATTGTTTTAAACTTTTAGCCTCACTTTCCTTTTCCAGCTTCAATTGATATTCATAAGTTTGTCTAGATGATAATGATACAAGTATAAAAGTCTTTTTATTATTTTCAAGAAAATATTTATTCTTAAACCCATCATGCTAAACATAAGTACTTTTTGTAAAGCCTTTAATTACATAATTTTTTGTACATATCTTTACTCTTATTTCATCCAGAATTAATAATGTTCATTTAGGGCATTTACCTGTAATCATAATAAAATATCTTATAATTTTTATTTTTTTTGGTTAAAAATCACATGGTTCAGTATGGGTTTTACATTGACAGTCAATATTATTCGCGGGTAGATATATACTTTTATTTACTCGGAGTTCCATTATATTTTTCTCTAAAAAATTTTGCCCAATATTTCATGAATTTTCTTTTAATAATACACTATTCAATTGAAATTTATTCATTTTATTATGATGTCTGCTATAGTATTTTATCAATTTTAAACCGAGAGTTAATAGGTATGGTCATCACTTATTAAAGTTATAGCTTTATTGAAACTTATTACGACTTAAATACTTCGAATTAACTCATTAAATGCATATTAATTTTTTTTTTTATCATTGATGTTATAATTAGTTCAATTAGAACTTCTAATTGATTAATTGATTATTTGGTATAATTTATATGGCATCATATTGCTCTTTTTTTTTTTTTTTTGTTGGCAAATACATAAACTGCTGCTTTGGTATGATTTATATGGCATCATATTGCTCTTTTTTATTTATTTTTTGTTGGCAAATACATAAACTGCTGCTCAAGTTTCAAAAGTGGCTTTTCTAATGATTGGCCATTGGTGGACAAACCCCATCTCCTCTATGGGAAGGTCTTAAAGAAATTCTTCCAATTGGCTGTTGGCACTTGCATTTAGATCCCTTTAAACTTGTTTTATTTGCTTTATCTTTCCGTTTATTGTTCATATCGTGGCTTTCGACCACAGGGTGGGAGAATGAAGTGCCTCCACCACCGTTTGTTTTTGGTGAAGTAGATAATTGCTCTGGTTTTGTTCTCTTTATACGGGCAAACAATCACTTAAGCTTAGGAGAGCCACTTTTCTTTTTTCTCCTTTTATTTTAAAATTTTTTATTTTAATATTTGAATATCAAAACAATTTTAAAATATAATTAAAAAAAAACATCTCAAAAACATTTCTTCACCGTAAAAATACACATTTTTAGACATGTAAATAATGGTTTCAATTCTCGATCTGTCTTTCTTGTAATAAAGTCCATACAAGCCCACTAGCTTCGGAGGTAAGTTTAAAATAAAGTAAGTAACAACTTCGTAGCCAAGTTTCAGATAAAGAAACCAAGGAGGAGACTCTCAAATTTAGAGAGAGAGAGACCATTTATAATATATTCATTCATTTTCTCAATTACTTTGATAATTGATATGCATGTGATACGAGTATTTGTATCATTTGATTTCTCATTTCCTCACGTACAATACCAGCAGACCACACCGCACCACCTTTGTTCCTCACGTACAATACCAGCAGACAACACCGCACCACCTTTGTTCTCTTCACATTCTTTGCAACTCCCAGTTTTACTTTTGACAAACTCTCTCTTCCCACCCTCCCTCTCAAATAAAAATCAGTCCAGTAATCAAATTCGCAATTTTTAAGGTTTCGAAAGGTAAAATCTCCCTCTCCCTCTCTTGTTTTTGTACAATCACTTTAACGTGATTCGTTTTTTTCTTCCAAGGTTAACTGTTTTCTGGTTTGGTGATTACATCTCTTTTAATGATTTTTGCTGAAATTGTTCTCGCCTTTTTGCGTGGTTTTCGTAGGGTTCTTAAGGCAATCGTGTTGTTTTATTTTAATTTATGCACTGTTTTACACTAAATATCGATTTTTATTAAGTTTAATATCCTCTGTTTTTCATTCTCTCCACTGACTGTGCTCTTTATTGGTGTTTAACTTGAAAATACGATCTTGGTTTTCATTTTTCTTACGTGTGTGTTTGGGTTTTGAAAAAAAATCAATTTTTGTTTTATTTTATGAGATTCCGTCTGTGCATGGGTTCTCTCTGTTTCTTTCTTTGTTTTCGATGCTCTGTTTCTCTTTCTTTCATTTTCAATTACGCTTTAAAGACTCTTTTTCTTCAATCTTTTTTCTTACAATGTCAAGTTTTCTTCTTCTTCTTCTTCTTCTTCTTCTTGTTTGTGTTGTGTTGTTTTATGTGAAAGTGTGATATGTATAAATTTTTATGTTTTGGACGAAGTCGATACCGTTCGTGTGCGCTTCAAATGCTTTCTAAGTTCTGTTCTTTAGCGCTTTACTTGCTCTGTTTCTTTCCTTTTTACAATTTTTAGTTTGGGTTTCTTTTACAGTTTTAAGGATTTGTTGGTGGGTTTTGTTTCTTGTTTTTTTTTTCTTTTTATACGTTATTATCTGTTTGGATTCAGGGAAATGCATGAAAAGCAGATGAATGGGAAAGAAATCATAAAAATAGAAATACGTCTGATTCGGTTACGCTATAAGTGAACAGTTAAAAGAATCTTGCGACTCAAGAAAGCAATTGTCATACTGAAATTCGTGTGGGTTTTCATGGTGTGAATCTGAAACGTTTAATAATGTCTCGATGATCAAGAAAGCAAAGCATAGATGTGCTAGGTTTTCATTCATGTAAAGTTGCTTTCCACTTTTTTGACTTATTTTCGTACGTCAAGTATTCGGGATTGAAGGTAATTAATTGGAGTTATGTCGGTTGCCTATCTGTTACCTTTCCAATCTATATTAAGAAAAAATAATCCCTAAGGCCTAAACTGCAATGCTCTTATTCTCTTTTAATTATTTTTCATTTTTAATGGGTCACGTGCGGAAATTAGCATATGATGGTAACAGAAAAGAATATTGGATTAGATCTGTTGTGTTGTGTTATTGATGGACAATATCATTCTTCTTTCAGTTATTATACAAACATTTTGATGGTTTTTTATTATTATATTTGTCATATGTTGTTATGTCTTTTGATACTGTTATAATGAGAGAGAAGTTTGGGAATATTTAGGCAACTTTTGGGATACCCACGCAAGTTATTGATAATGCTCTACTCAAAGTCTGGCTGTCCTGAGAAAAAAAACATGAAAACACAACAGCTGCCCTCAGACACTCTTGGGATTGAAGAATGAACAGCTCTTCTATTTTTAGTATCATTTATATTTATGAATGTATGTGTTATTTTGTTCCACTCGAATTGATTATTTGCTTCATTTGATCGAAGATACATGGCTGAGTTGGTGGACAAGCAAATGGAAGAAACAGAAGATGACCCCATCATGCCAGATGAAGTGGATTCATCTGAGGGAAGCTTCCAACAGAACATCAGCATCTCATCTCTCATGTTAATGGATGGGGGTTCACATGAAATGGTATGCTCCATTGAGCTTATTATCAGATATGATGTCAGTGTCTTAATGACAATAATGTGATTTTGTGTTTTTTTTTTTTGGCTTCTGTTTTCTTTAGGAAGTTAACAATGAGGCCTTTAAATTAGTTTTGAGAAATAGTTGGAAACAGTGTAACTCCCAGTATGCTGGTTCAGTATCTATTTGAAATTAGTGCATTGTCCTTGCCTTGACCCTCGATTTGGAGGATGGTGGTGTTATTCTTTTGTTTTCTGTCAGCAGTAATTGGATACGTGATCTGTTTATCTATTTTTTCAATAAATCTCCGAAATGAGAGACGATGTAGTGGAGAAAAGGAGCAATCTTTCATGTGATCTGAGACCTTGCTCCAGTTTCAGTAACTAATTTATAAAAGCCTTGTAGTCCCTCCTGGTCCTGTCATGTGTCCCTTCATTTATGTTTAATTGTTATGAAAAGACTTTCTTTTGTGTATTGTTTGTCGTTGTGATGGTTTTATGGAGACTCTTAATTATCTTTTCCTTCGTTTGCAAATTCTTTAATAGCCGCTCTTTTCTTCGTTTACAGAATCCAAGTTGTTCATACAAGTCCAGTTCTTACAGGAGTTTGGAAAACTGTGTTAAATTTCCTGACCACATAAAGCAGAAGGAGGACATGGAAATTCAAGATGTTGTTAGGCAGTATGCTCTCTGTTTCCTTCCAGCCAAGTCCTTGAGCAGGTTCAAGACTGTTTCTAAAGAGTGGCTTAGTTGGATAAACTGTCCCTTTTTTGTCCACACGCAGACAAACCGCTTCAGGCATATTTCTGGTCTTTTCTGTCAGTTTCCTGGCGAGAGTCCCTCCTTCATATCACTCAATCCAGTTGCTTATGGCGTTCCTAACCCCACTCTCTGTTTCTTGCCTGAACCTGTTGACGTAAGAACCTCTTGCAATGGTTTACTTGGCTGCCAAAGCCGCCTCGGAGACAATGCCTACTACATCTGCAACCCTGTGACTGAGGGATGGAGGATGGTTCCAAAGCCAATTTTATATCATGGACCTGAAACAGCCATAGCACTTGCCTTTGAACCTGATATACTCAACTTTGAAGCGCAATACGAGCTTATTTGTGCGGTCACTTTACCTGACCAGGCAGCTCTTCAGTTTGAAATATACTCTTCAAGGACAAACTCTTGGAGAGTCTCCAATGATGTATGCTTGGAGCTGGATGCTCTGCCTCTAAATGGTGATGGTTTCTACACCAGAGGATTTGTCTATTGGGAAACCGAATCAGGTACAGTTCTGGTTTTCGATTTAAAGGAAGAAGTGTATGGGATTGTCAGTCTCCCACCAAGTAGAAAACCAACTGGTGCTTTGACAGATATGCGGGGGGAGTTATGCTACCTCTTGCCTCACAAAGAAGATGATGCATGGTCAATTGAGGTCTACGGGAATATGGACATGAGCCTGCGGTGTATAATTCCTCTTCACTCTGAGTTTTTGGGACACCTTGTAGATGGAGAATGCCGGGCTTTGGCATTTGTGAATGATGACACACTGATCATTACTCTTGGGAAGAAAGTGATTGCTTATCATGTAAGAGCACATAGGATGGAACGGTTAAGTGATGCCAGGACTGATGGTTTTGTGAAGTATATTCCGTACGTGAACAGCTTTGCACCTGTGGGCCATTTCATGCATGACGCAGCATAGTATCCGTGAGATTTGATCCACAGTTAATCCACAAAGTCTCTCTCAACCTGAATTTATTGATTCAAGGATGGATGTCTCAGGATTATTGACTATATATATATATATATATATATATATATTTTGTTCTTGTGAAGCATCAGACATGACTTCTGCTCAAATTCAGAATTTGGTGGAAGTTAAACATTGAATTTCCTTTTGAAGTTTGAATTCCAGTTCTTCATAGGGTACTTTGACTCGACGCTGGTGCTTTTAAAGCATTATGATTGAATGATGTAAATTTTCGTTTCTCTGATGTTCTATCACTGTTGTGACGGGCTAATAAACTAGCTATGATAGAGGTTCATAAACGCCACCATCTTCCATTTGCAATCCATGTTCCGCTGTTACCGATGGTTTTTTCGAAGATATTGGATGATGCACTTGTAGAAAATATTCTTTTGTTCTTTATTTGATGAACAAAGCTGAAGAAGAACGCCGCCATCTATATATATTTGGTTGAAGGTAAAGAAAGAAATTTTCCTGACGAAGGGTTTGCAATTATTCTGAAGTCCTTGCCAGCTTAAAAGATTGGTGGTGGCTGTCTTTACATTTATCTTTTATAATAATTTATTGCATTTATAGCATTTTGTAATTACAAAACGTTTGATATAGTTTGCATCGCAATGGACGAGGTATACTGTATCTGGCATCAATTGTAATTATTTCAATGCTTAACTTTCTATATATAGATCAAATTAAGGATGACAAGGCATGGAGCAAATGCTATATTAGGGGAAAATCATAGCTGGAATGATCTCATTAGTCATAATTACGATTTCCAAGGGCTACCCTGAAAAGTAGCTGCAGCTGGCTAGAGGAAATAATGTTCTGCTTGATTTTGCCAGATTGAGTTTTTACCATATGCATGCCTCGTTATTCTTGGACTTCATTTTTATAATTAACCATGCCTCTTGTGGATCAACCGAAAGCTGTACTAAAATGTTTTGTCTCTGAGGCTGTGCTTCTTACAAGTGTGAACAAAACCATCAATGGTGGACAGCTTTATATTTGAACCTTAATATTTGCTATTATGTCCTAGGAAAGTTATTGGTTCAACGAGGGGAAAGCAGGAATACAGCAAAGAAATGGTTAAAAAAGTAACCAGCTTCTAGGGTTGGAGACACAAGAAGGGGGGGAGAGAGAGAGAGGTCCTCCTTTGTAGGAGGTTACAGGTATCTCTTTCTAGAATTGGAATTCTACCAAGCAACCCCTTTTCTTCTCTTACCTTTGAGATCCTACCTATCTTCTTCAATCAGGTATTTTTCTCCGTTTATAATTTTATTCTCCGTCCAGTACTTGATTTATAATAATAATAAAAAAAAAAACGTAAGATGATATTCCAGGGGGATCAACAGAAGAGAAATGTAAGAAATTACATGTGATATCTCCATAAGATCTCGTAGGAAAGGAGAGCTAGTGAAGACATGAAGGTGGTTGAAGGAGAATAACCATGATCATGCTTTGTTAGGGCAGCCTTATACTAAACATTACTACTATTGTTTTGTTATATTTCTTGTATGCATGTTAGAATATGTGTTGTGATTCACTTGATTTCTCCTGATTCTGTCATTAATATTTTCAGGGATCGTAAAAAATCTTGAGAAGAGCACTTAGGGGATACGTAGAGTTTCCGGCGTGTTTTTTAAAGAGTGTTTCGGCACCAGATATCCTTTTGGCCGGAAGATCTTATTCATGAGATAAAAAAGAGACATGTCTTCAACCCCTGATGCTCCCTCACCAGGTTCTGGCTCCCCTCCTCCTCCACCAGCTTCATCACCCCCACCTAAGAATTCACCACCCCCACCCCCACCCCCACCTCAGTCGGATTCTCCACCACCAGATGCATCATCTCCTCCACCACCTCCACCACCTACTAGTGATTCTCCTCCTCCACCCCCTCCCAAACACAGCAATGCGCCACCTCCTCCACCCAATTCTAGATCATTGTCACCACCACCACCACCACCACCACCTCCTCCTCCTCCTCCGAATTCATCAAATAGTGGAGGTTCTTCGGATCAGATGAAAATTGTTGTTGGGGTGGCGGTTGGTGCTGGGATATTCCTTATTGCCATGATCTTCATATGTGCATATTGTTCGCGCAGGAAGAAGAGAAAAAATATGCATTATTATGGAGAAAATCCTCAAGGAGGTACAGATGCTAAATCATTAAACCTCATGTCTCTTAGTAAATCATTTCTATCACGATTGATTGCATTATAACACTACCAACCATCATGGTTGGATTGCATAGTCTCAACTGCAAATGGACGAAAAACCATGTTTTCTGCAGATAGTATGCTTTACGTACTTTCTTAATTTTCAAATAGAAAAAGTTCCAAGACCTGACTTCCCTGTTGTATCTTGGAAAGAAGATTTAAAATGGTTCATCCGATTTCAGAAAGGTTCGAGCTATTTGTTTCCTTTTACTAACTGTTATGGGAGAAGGGGTTCGTATTTTAACTTGGAGAGTCTAATTTAAGATTCAGAAACTGGTTACGCATAAGAAGCTTCTTAGTTTGTTGCTTCAATTCATTTTGAACCTGCTATGGATCATGTATCACCGTTCCAATCTAACGATAAAAATGAGGCCAAAGACTCCTTTATATATACGTGGAACAGTTTTGAAGAGCCGCCGAGTAAAAATCTTGTTGAATACCTAAAGAGATTATTCCTGAATCTTGTTTCTGTATTTTTGCTCCAATTAGAAATCAATCCGATCGTTCGTTGATCATATACTATGTTCATGCACAGGAAGTGAACAATTTTCGTATAACAGCCCACAGCAATCAAACTGGCACAATGGTCTCCCAACAGAACATGGTATGAAGCTATCCCAATCACCAGGTCCATTGGGGTCTGGCTGGTCCGCACCACCTCCACCTCCACCGATGATGAATAGTAGTGATATGAGCTCCAATTACTCTGGTCCTTACCGCCCCCCCTTGCCGCCTCCATCACCAAATATTGCTCTTGGGTTCAACAAAAGTACCTTCACATATGATGAGTTAGCAGCAGCTACAAACGGGTTTGATCAAGCTAATCTATTGGGTCAAGGAGGGTTCGGTTATGTGCACAAAGGTGTGTTGCCTAATGGAAAGGATATTGCAGTAAAGAGCTTAAAGTTAGGTAGTGGACAGGGAGAGCGAGAATTCCAGGCTGAAGTTGAGATCATTAGTCGTGTCCATCATCGACATCTTGTGTCACTTGTTGGTTATTGTATTGCTGGAGGGCAAAGAATGTTGGTCTATGAGTTTGTTCCCAACAAGACCTTGGAACATCACCTTCATGGTAAGTTTCTGGTTCCGCTTCTGCTTTTATGGTACCTCTCAATTGTTAAGTTTCTTGTTGAATGATGAAAGAAATTGATGGTGCCTTAACTGTAGCCTTTCTAAGATTAAAGATAAGCTTGTCCAATCTCAAGGCATCAATAGATCTAGATTTGACAAAAGAATGCATAGGCTATATATGTTGGACGATACGTCAAGCCTTCAAGCTTCAAGGCATCCTGATTGCATCAGCACAACCTCACACAACGAAATTTTGCAAAAAAAAATAAAAATGAATTAACAAGATAATGTCAAACTTTCGTTTTGCAGGAAAGGGTCTTCCAGTCATGGATTGGCCAACTAGGCTCCGTATTGCATTAGGCTCTGCCAAAGGTCTTGCTTACCTTCATGAAGACTGTAAGAAATTCTACACTCCCTTTCTCTCCCATGCACATATATAGGCGCCCACACATTTTTCTGTTACTTAGTTGAAAAATATGTGCAGGCCATCCTCGGATTATCCACCGTGATATTAAAGCGGCTAACATCCTCATTGACAACAACTTTGAAGCCATGGTACATTCTCCTGATAGAACTAGATTTATTCTTTATTCTACATGTACACACATATACGATAGCCCTATAGCAGTAGCTCCATCAAAACAATGCTGTTGTTGACTAAACTAGTTGATCATGCTGTTTTGCTTATTCAGGTTGCTGATTTCGGACTGGCTAAGCTGTCTTCTGACAATTATACTCATGTATCTACCCGTGTCATGGGTACTTTCGGGTAAGCTATGATAAGGCATTCTTTTGTGAGTTGAGGGTGGACTAGACTCATTTTCGAAGCTATTTGGCAAAGTCTTAAGCATTTATTTTCCTTTTGGGAAATGATAAAGCTGTTACTGTTAATATGATGATATGAGAGAAAGTTTCGGCAAATAAACTTCCCGTGGACTATTAAACTAGTTTTCGAAACATTCTTATCTGTCAAAGAGAAGAAATATTTAAAATGAATTCACCCCCCTAATAACTTCTCCAATACGAATGCAGGTATTTGGCTCCTGAGTATGCCTCAAGCGGCAAGCTGACTGATAAATCTGATGTTTTCTCATACGGAGTCATGCTCTTGGAACTCATAACAGGGAAGAAACCTGTTGATCCTTCAAGTGCAATGGAAGATAGCTTGGTGGACTGGGTTTGTGCTCTCTCTATTGCTATCTAAGTTTGACTAAAATGCTCTTCAGAATAAACCTTTCGAGTTTCAATAAAGTTTTTGAAATACCTGCCATCTTGTGTTATGTGTCAATAGATATAATATTTGTGTTTGTGTGATGGACAGGCTCGACCACTTATGATTACTTCATTGGACACAGGCAATTACAACGAGTTGGTCGATCCAATGTTGGAGAATCACTACAATCATCAAGAGATGCAAAGAATGATAGCTTGTGCTGCAGCCAGCATTCGTCATTCTGCAAGAAAGCGCCCAAAAATGAGTCAGGTATCATCAAATAACTTCATTGCCACTTGGTAATTTCTTAGTAATTATTACGAGTACACTACTAGACTTATAGTGATTGTTCTGCAAAATAGGTAGCACGTGCATTAGAAGGAGATGTGTTACTGGATGACTTAAATGAGGGTACAAAGCCTGGCCAGAGCTCAATCTTCTCCGGGTCGAACGGAAGCTCAGACTATGATACAAGTTCATATAATGCAGATATGAAAAGGTTCAGGCAGGTGGCACTAAATAGTCAAGAGTTTGGAAGCAATGAGCTTGGAACATCAAGCAACGAATCCCCAGTAACAGGCCCTTCAGGGATCCACAGAAATAGCGAGTCTAATTACTGACCATAAAAATGGACAAGGTTTGAATGCCTAAATGCCAAATTATGAGCCAGTTTGGTGGTCAAGAACAAACAACGACCGCAGACATACTAATATACATGGTCATTGTTTTTCTTTCAAGTGATTCTGTTGATTTGGAACTTGTTTCTTTGTGTTTGTTTGAAGGATAAACTTCAGAGAGGAGAGACGAAATATTTAAGGGGTCCTAATG